AATTGTCCAGCACCGTGTCACCCCGTAAAAACCCCGCCGTAGCTTTGCTAACCTCAGGAGTGAGGTGCGTGGTGACCAGGGACTTGGGGTCCGCTCACTGCCTCTCATCGAGTCCGCCAGCGCCCATCCTGACGTCTCTCCTTCCTCCACCCAGCTGCATTCGATGCCCGCGAATCCGCAACGAGCGACTGCGTCAACTAATCAGCATCTCGACAGGCCAAGTATCCCGCAAATATCTGGTGAATATATCTCTCCTCGCCAATTCACCACCGCTTTGCAGTCGTTCTCAGGTGCCCTTTGCCCCCCCCCCCCCCCCCCTTTGTCACCGAATGGTAAGGCGTTCCCAATACTCATGCCGCCCGCATATTCCCGCTCTACACGTCCGCTCTGCCTCGACGCCTCGTCTCCCGACAATCCATAGCACACCACACCGCTCACATCTTGCCCTACCTCGAACAGCCTTGAGGTATTCGTTGTAGTCTCCGTTACTGACTTGTCTCATGGCACAGTCGGGCAACCGTTCGCAGCCGCCCTCGCAACATCGTTATCGGGGCGCCGACGGGGTCTTTCGCGACGTCAACCTCGATGAATGCACCACTCCTCCTGGGACGACCGGAGAGCTATCCAGCGAAGAGCTGTCCAGAGCCGTAGAAAGATTCCACCGCAATATCGATCTCATCCGCCACAACATCTCCGTTGTCTCCTCCGACCCAAGTATGTCGGGCTCTGACCGAGAGCTTCGACGAAGATTTAACCGGGACCCCGAGCCCCCCGCAGAGGGCCGTAACTCCACCATATTCCCACCTGGACTTCCGCCCCTCCGACACAGAGCCGTTATGACGTCTGGAGGACCGGGCAATCGGGGTAACCGCTATCGTGATCACGTCCTCGAGAGACACCGCGCCATATTGGAGAACAGGGCCGTTCATATCGCCAACCTCAACGAGCATACTCGAACACTCGACGATGCCAATTCTCACCTCCGGGCCCTGCTGGATCTCACCACCAACCCCATCATGCCCCCGCTTGTTCCGCCCGCCATGTCGCCCCTTCTCCAAGCCCACGATCACACTGAGGACAATCGACGCATCAAACGCCGCAAGCTGGACTCTGACAGAATCGCACCTAGCTTCAAAGGTGTTCGCTACGGCATCTTCGGCCAGGTTGAGCCCGGCCCACTCACGATGGAGATTGTGAGTTGTGACGGGGGTCTATACTCGGACGAATCCTCGTATGCGGCCGAGAACATTCTGAAGAACGACCCTTCAGTATATTGCACAAAGGGAAATCGCTGTAACATTGTTTTGCGGCACCAGGGCGCAACTGTCTTCAGCCTCAAGGAGCTGATTATCAAGGCTCCCGGTTCTAATTATTCCTCTCCGTAAGCTCCGCTAGCTGGTTTACTCACTGGAACATCTACTTACCGTCTTATAGCGTTAGAGAGGGGATGGTCTTTGTGTCGATGAACTCAGATGAGCTCTTGACGCGCACGGCGCAATATCAAATTCAATATCTGCCTTCCCGCGCGAATCCGTCTGGCAGTTTGCCAACAATACACTCGGTCCGCTATGACGAGGACGCCCCTCGGATCCGCCCGCATAGATCTGCGCGCGAGCGGCACCTTGCTGGCCGGGCTGCCTTGGAGGATGACGACGAGGACTACCGCACGGCCCAAATCCCCACCGAGTTCAACGTCTCGCCGCCCCCCTTTAATATCACCACGGAGTACAGCGACGACCACAGCGGCGACGAGGCCGGCCATTCGGCCGGTTATTTGCGTGCATATCGACGAACCCCCAACCGAATCGGTTCCCTTCCGTTCGAAAGTGACAACAGTGACGACAGCGGAGATCCATGGGGCCCGTCGCAATCTGACTGGTCTGACATCACACGGCTCCGCTACTCGTCAGGAGGACGTGGTGACCACCCCATGACCCTCGAAGAGGCCCAGGAAGCCTCACAGATTGCGACGCAGGAGGCAGTTCGAGCAGTCGGTGGAGAGCTCATGGCACCGCTGGCACGCTTCCACATTGAGAAGGACAAGAACAAGTGCACCATTAGCTTCGACCCGCCGGTGAGCGGGCGCTTCATCCTGCTGAAGATGTGGAGTCCACATCATGACCCGTCCAAGAATATTGATATCCAAGCCGTCATTGCGAAGGGCTTTGCAGGGCCGCGGTATTTCCCCTCAGTTGACCTTCTGTGATGGGGATGTCAGTTTATGGGTGGTGTTTGGGTGGTGCTTTGGGCGTTCTTGACGGGGTATAGGGGAAACATGCATAGGGTTAGTAAAGTTAACTCGGACGAGTCTACCAAATATCAAGTGGTTATGGCGCGCTAGTTTTGGAGGGGCGGGGGAGTTAGGGGGATTAATTGTATTGTATCTGGCTTGAGCCGTACGCTGTGATGTTGGAGGGAGGGGCATATGCGGACAATGTCTCATTAGGGGTGATGCCGGGGTCTGTCAGGGCCTTTGGCTTTGTCGTCACACTCGCCCCGGATTTGCAATTTCACTGAGAAGGCTTGATTGAGATGGACTAGATGTTGGAGCTTCCTCTTACACTTGGAAGGAAGCGGGGAGTGCGTCTTCGACCCATACCACGATGGGCTTGGAATTCAATAAACGAGGCGCGGATACGGGGTGCCGGTGCTTTTGCGGATGAATCATAATGAAATTCGTCAATCAAAGCAAGGTTATAGCACATGGGCTGATGGGCAAAAGGCTGGCGCAGCTTGAGTCACTTGGTGCATTTGGTGCGTTCTTACACATGGGGAAGGGGCGGGAGGCAGTGCTCTCCGCGGTGCGTTCTGCAGCTGATTCTAGACTGATTTATACTGAGTCATCGGGGGGCGTTCTGGCTGAAGACGGGCCTGGGGGAAAGAAGGGTTTGACGGACCCACTTTCTTCACCAGAGGGTAGTGCGGTCGCTATACTAAAAGCTGCGATTTTCTTCCCCTCCATCGACGTCCCCACGACAGAAGTAGATCCAAGCACCACAAGCACAAGCCGAAGCCGACAATCCTGCGACTAGAATCCCCCCCGGCGACCCTTTTACCACCACCAACAACGAAAAGGACGCCGAAAAGGACAAAGGCAAACACCCAATCATGGCTGTTCGCGCACAGTTTGAGAACTCCAACGAGTGCGTTCCCCATCCTGCCCCACCTTCCAACATCTGAACTTGCGCCAGCTGCAAAGTGCCGTGGCAGCGCACCAACGCGCGCGACCCCGCGATGGCTGGCCAAGATCCCACCACCAATATGATGCCTGAATGAAACTGGGCGAAGGGCTGGCTTGCTGACCTTGGATCGTTGCGATATCTTTAGGGTTGGTGTTTTCGCAACACTCACAAATTCTTATGCCCTAGTGGCCGTCGGCGCGAGCGAGAACTTCTATAGTGTCTTTGAGGCCGAGCTCCAAGATGTGATTCCGATCTGCAGAACAACGATTGCCGGCACACGGATCATTGGGCGGTTAACTGCTGGGTAATGCTCTCCCCAGGGAGAGGAGAGAGAGGAAGGAAAAAAACTGACTTTTTCTTTGCCAAAAAGAAACCGAAAAGGACTCCTCGTCCCGACGTCAACGACGGACCAAGAGCTGCAGCATCTGCGTAACAGCCTGCCGGATGCGATCCGCATCCAGCGGATCGAGGAGCGGCTGTCGGCACTCGGCAACGTGATCGTGTGCAACGACCACATCGCGCTGGTGCACCCGGACTTGGAGCGCGAGACGGAGGAGATCATTGCCGACGTGCTCGGCGTCGAGGTGTTCCGGCAGACGGTGGCCGACAACGTGCTAGTCGGCAGCTACATGGCGCTCAGCAACCAGGGCGGCCTCGTGCACCCCAAGACGAGCATCCAGGACCAGGACGAGCTCAGCAGCTTGCTGCAGGTGCCGCTCGTCGCGGGCAGTGTCAACCGCGGCAGCAACGTCATTGGCGGCGGCATGGTCGTCAACGACTGGATGGCCGTCACCGGCCTCGACACCACCGCCCCCGAGCTCAGCGTCATAGAGAGCGTTTTCCGGTTAGGAGAGGGTGCCGCGCCGGGCGCGATCAATACGAATATGAAGGATACCATGGTCGAGTCGTTTTACTGAGCAGTTTGGCGGCTTGTGCTGTATGGTGCGGGTGAAGGGAGAATGGGGTGCTGTATCTTGTTTTGGAAGCGGAAAAGGGGGTGGTAACTGGATTACGGGAAGGCTTCGAAAAGGAGGTTGAAGTAGGGAGGAAAAGCGCTCTATTCTTCTGACATAGATACATCGCCGGTTGGCTGAAGTCAACCCATTGCCCTTCTCTCCATTACAAAGTCTCCGGTTTTTGTCTCGTTCCTATTATGTGTTTAGGTATTGTATTATAGAGAGGTTTTGCATATGCCTTCAGGGGTTCGTTGTAGGCAAAAAGGGAACGATATTGGCGCCCTGAGGTAGTTATAAATCTGGGAGATCTCTTGATATCTTCTAGATACCCTAGCTCGGAGAGTAAAAAGGAAAGCTATCGACGTAGGCCGGATTTGAACCGACGCTCCCGAAGGAACAAGATTTCTAGTCTTGCGCATTAGACCACTCTGCCACCACGCCTGCTTACTGCTGAATGCCTTGTTGGGCTGCTTGTGGAATTGGGTGGATTGGAATTACCTAAGGAGTCCATATTGAAGATTGTGTGTTGTGGAGAAGGCGTGGTTTTTTGCGATTCATCAGAAGCGAGGTTGGTGGTTTAGGAGGAGGACTGCTCAACTTGACCCCTCTCTGGTGGATAAGTGCGGGGAGTGAAGGGAGTGGGGTGGTCTTGGGAGGACATAGGAGCAGTGGATGTATGCGGCTTGGGTTGAAAAGGATTACCCTGAGGTTGGTACCTGAGATGCTGTATTGCTCGGTATCAGTCTCAAGATGTCAATTGTATCTTTATAAATCGATAGAAAATACCTGGCGATTGATGAGACGCTTGGATTGATAAAGGAGGTAAAAAGGAGTCAATGGTTAAAAAAATCAAAAATCGTTACTCGGATACGGGGAGTCGAACCCCGGGCTGCTGAGTCCTCACTATGAGAGTCAGCGATGTTACCGCTACACCATACCCGATCTGTCGGCCAACATTCTCAAAGGTGTAGTTAGCAGAGGAGTCTGGAGGGCCGGTAGTTTGTCCGTGGGCCGCAGCCATCTGATTATCATGTATCTCTCAGACTCTCCCGTCAAGCCACTACTACCTGGCCCAACCGACATATACATGCATATAAAGACAATTCTCTGTGTGTATTGAACGTGATCCTACGGTGAAAGGGCCCAGAGAGCTTTGTCAAGTTTGACAACTCACTCTCTGTCTTGGGTTAGTCAGGGTGAACTAGGGACCAGAGTTACCTTCTGTAGTAGGCGATGACAACTTCAAAAGGGGATGTCGTTATCTTATCTGGCCACACACAATAAGTAAATCAATCATGCATTGAGACATTCCGCAGCTGGCTGGCTGAGAGCTGAAGCCACGGCGGTCAACCTACGAACTTCTTCCCGTTTTCAGCGCACTTTCAGAGGACACGGACACGTGAGCGCCTTCGACTGGACGAAGAGAGACAGGTATTGAGTTTGAAATGCATTGTGTCGAATAAGTGGACTTGACATGTGCCTTTGCGGATCCGCATTGAGAGGATCGCTAGGAATTCGCTCGCTGCTGAAAAAAGCATAGTGGGGAACCCTGTCTGCTTGTACTGCGCACGGTCCTTTTAGACGTCAGCGCCGGTTCGCCTCGCGGTGTGGTGCCTCGCAAACCCTGGAAACGGGATCCGGTCTGCATTGCCTGCATTTGTTTTTCTCAGCTCGCCGTCCTCTTCCTCGTCCTCGTCCAAGTTTTCTTGTCCTTGGGCCTCTTGTCACCTTCTCCCTCTTTGTCACACTAAACAGACCGTGAATACGATTGCGCATGAATATCAAGGCGGCATAACTCCTCATATCCCTCGCCTCTTCCTTCCCCTCTCGAGCTTTTCGTGGGCAAGTCCTGCTTTCCAGGGTTGAATCTTGGGGAATCCTGGTTTAGACCCATTGGTCGCCGTGGGTTTTGTTGCCAGCGAGAGATCTCCGCCATAAACAACGCCCACGTCGCGCTCCAGACCCCGCTTGCTTGTCCGTTTCGCTTTCGTGCACATCGGCTTGCAACTAGCTTCTGTTCAGAGTTGGCGAAGGTGTATATTTTCGCTTGGTTCGCTGCACATTCCAGGTGGTCTTGTCTTGCCGACAGCGTCTCTCAATTATTTAAGTGTTGATGCGTGTACCGCTTGCGGTTGCCACGGGTAATTCGACATTCAAGACGCCCACGGATATGTGACGAGGAATCTACCCAGCACCACGAGAATTCTTCTACGTCGCCACTGGACTCCTGTCAGGTTCCAGCGCTGGACCCACCAAACGAAACGACCGTGACCAACAGGAAAAAGAACAAGGCACCGGGGAATCCAGGGATATATACATCCAAGGATATACTATCCCGTCCCGAAACATTAATTCATCATGCTAAGCAACGCAAACCCTGCTTTACCCTCCCCACAGCCTGAGCTGCTGCCTCCCTACGGTCGCCCTCTCTCTGCTCGTGCCCCTCCGCGAGGGTCTTCGAACCAGAATACCACTCCCGATGGATACAATTCTCCTCGGCAAGTCGACACGCGTATAGCACCCGCTCCACAGCTGCCCCGGCCGTCGCAGCAGCACCACGGCTTCAACGCACCGCGCCCATCGCTTTCCCCTTTATCAGAGTACCACAGCGGCTTTACAGATGAGGATCTCGGCTCCCCCTATCGCCCAGCGAACACTCACCGACGGCAACAATCGTTCCCGAATCTACTGCCCCTGAGCTTCAGGAGCAGAACGCCCTCGCCGACAAGGAAGCCATCCAAGCTACCAGAGCAGATGCCATTCACCGGCGATGGAAGGAGTAGCGTTAGGGCTGAGAGCCCAAGGACCGGCATTGCCGGGTGGTTTAGTTCTACAGCAGCCGGCAGTGCGTTGGGCATGTCTACCCCGAACGATGGACAGACGTTTGACAGGGCGTCAATAGATGCAACGCCGGAAACCACACCGACAAAATTACGAAGGAACACAACGATTGCTAGCACAGCAGACCCAACTACACCAAAAAGTACCGTTACAGCGACAGCCTCCCGGTTCATGTCAGCCATATCTTCACGGTTCATAGCACCCCCCGCGAGCCCGATCATTGACGACGAGATCTGCAATCTTAACATCGAGGCCGCTCTGTTCCCTTCCAGTTCTCCCAGCTCGCCGTCAGATCGGGACCCCTTTTCCCCAGCTGCTTTCAAGAACCTGCAAATGAATGCACTGGGTCTGCTGGTCAAGATGCAAAGTGCTTACCGCGACCGCGTTGCCACGCTTCGCGAGCTGCAGTCTGAAAAGCTAGCACAGCGAGAGGAGCTTGAAGAGGCCGAGACGCGGGCCCAGCACCTAAAGATGCAGCTGGAGGGAATGGCCAGGAAGGCGCAAGAGCAAGAAAAGGCCATGCAGCAGCTGATGGAAGAGCTTAACGCCGAGAGGAAAGCTAGGGCTGACGAGCGTCTCGCCACCATGTCGGAAGGCTCCATGGTGTCAGAAGACCTGGGTGTGGATGAGGACCGTCAACGGAGGAAGTGGCGCAAGAGTGGAAGCACGATCAAATCTGAAGTCGGGTTTGACACAGACGAAGAGAGCGCCGAGAGCGAGAGCGTGTTCTCGCGGTGTCGGAGTCCGACGCTCACACTCAATGCCGCTATGGACAACAACATGATGGACGGTCCTGCCCCGGCACAGCAGTCAAGAAGCAGTAGCTCACTGGCTCCGCCTAGGCATAGACCCGGACAGCCTCAGCAGATGAGCGCGTTCCAAAAGATCATCAAGGGAATCGCTGGCGAGAACGAGGACGCTGGGACGAATGGGTGCAGGAACTGCAAAGGGCAAGACGCCAGCGTCGCCTGGGATACGGTTGGCTTGCTGAGAGACGAGAACAAGCATTTGAAGCAGCGGGTTGGGCAGTTAGAAGTTGCAGTTGAAAGCGCGTTGGATTTGGTCAATGGGATTGGATTATAAAATGGGGACAGGGGTAGGTGACATCGCGTCGTCGTCACCATTGGTTTATTACGGCATGGGCTGTTCAAGCAGCGGCGATATAGGTATGGTGTGGTTGGCAGTAGGACTTGGTTAAGTCATTTTTTTTTGTTTCTGGCGTTATGGCAAGTTAAGCACCGCATTGCACTTCCGCTATGCAGTTTCGTACGAGTGCTGATTTGATAACCTTGGGGGTTTTGGCTGCGGAACTAGGAGCTGGCAAACTCGTCTTGCATGGAGGCATGGCCACTGAGACTCAGGAAATAGACTGGAAATATCGATTGGGGAATACATGTAGGGCTGTCGATGAATTGCAAGGTCGCTGAGGCGATATTTACCTTTTGATAGTCTGATTACTGCGGGAACCAATGACCTCCCGCAAGTAAACTCGTGGATCCGAATGATTTGCCTCCTTTCGCCTCTGCCTACATGCCCGCCCTCCGGGCTATTTGCTGGCCAGAATCCCGCAACTTCTACTTCCTAGCTGCGTGCAGCATCCCAACGCACCTCAATTGAAGAATGTCTCGTTGGACCTGGTGACGCTTCAATGTACAATCCTGTCTGTATTCAGCACACCAAAGCTCTACGACGCCCGCCCTCGATCCGAAAGCCCGATCCGCATCCCGCCTTTCGTATGTACAGTTAACGCCTCCCGGAGGAATCTCGGCCCGGTCTCGATGTCAGTGTCAATGCCAGCCTCGCGCCCTCGCTCATCCTTCGCTCAATGGTGTTCCTCTCCATGCGCTGCGGCGTGGCCGTGGTGCTCGTCCTTGAGGAAGAAGTGCTCGTATGTGCAGTAGGCAGCAAAGGCGACCGACGCGATGCCCAGGCCCGGGAAGCCCTTCTTGAAGCGGTTGAAGCGGGAGAACTGGCCCTCGTACCGCCATGCTTCACTGCCGCGGTGGTTAGCTCTCGCCGCTGGGGGGGGGGGGGGGGGGGGGGGGCGTTTCTAGAGAAGGGGAAAGAGGAGACGTACGATCGGCCCCATGGGTCGTATTTGGGCTCGGCGGCGGCTTTGGCGAACTTTCTGATGTCGAAGCCGGTGACATTGGGCTTGTCGGCCCGTAGTATTCTGGTGCGAATCGGGCCTGGTTAGTGAGCTGGATGGGCTGGGTGAGAGCGGGGAGGTTGCTTACCTGGAGGGCTGCATTGTAAGGCTGGCAATTGCTTGTCAGGTCGGGGGGCGATGCTCAGCAGACAAGCTTCCTCACCAGGCGTCAATTGACTGGATCTCGAACCAGTCCGTCGCAGGTCGTTGTCTGCCCGGGGCTTGATTGGGCACACCCCTGTTGCTTAGGTAAGGCCTCAAATATATGTGTGTGGTGTGGGCACCGTCGGTGGGACCGTGCAGCGCTGCAGGCTGGCACTTCAACCTCGCCGGGCAATGAAACGAGCCTGCCCTCCCAAGCTCCCGTCGTTGCTTTCCAGCTCACTATTCCACGCCCCTCAACGCGATAATCCAAACGGCGATCTATTTAGACGAAACATAGTTTTTCACAAAGACGACCAGATAAAAGACTGTCGACACTCGCCGGGTAGCGCTTGACAACGCGCAAGGCTGGTCTGGCTGCATTGTGTATCACAGCCTACGCATCGTTTGGAACGGGAATGGTGCATTCAACGACGCTCGATACCGCCGCCGACACTCTCCGTCTTGGGATACAGACTCTGCGATAAAAGAACCGCGCCTCTGTGACTGCTGGCCACCGGCCGACTCCCCTCGACATGCCTCCGTTGCCCCGCTTCCCCAACGGGCAGAGCAACATCTCGCCCTACCACCAGCAGTTTCCCACCCACGCCCAGCACTCATCGACCCATCCGCCGCTGGGAAACCCGGGGTACCTCCAGCCTGGCAACCAAGTAAATCCCTTCTCTGCCGGCAACAATCTGTTAGGGCTGGGTGGCGGTCTCAATGCCGTGGGCTTCAACGTCGGCGGCGACTCGGGGTTGGCGAGCCACGCTGCGCGTATGAGCTTTGCGCACGCGGGTAATCTACAGCA